AAAAAAAAAAAAAAACAAAAATGAGTATTATATAACGATTTTTAAAAATTTTGAGCTGCTGCACCTGATATAACAATGATAAAAAATTTATGCCTCTTGGTTGAGGAATCACTATAAAAAGGCAATAAAAGAATATATTCTAAAGAACCATCCATCTTTTTCCCATAGCCTTGAACACATATTGAATTAGGGATAAAAGTTAAGTACAAAAAGCAACTTCTGGGCCCCATTGACACCCAATTCATTAATGAGAACATGCACTGCAAAAAAAGATGTTAAGAAGCGCAGATGAAACATAAATCCGAGGAGTTGAAACAAACCGTCACTTAAATCACCAACCGTAAAAAGTAAAACTAGTGAAACTAAATAGTGGTTGAATATATTCCATTTGAAGGATATCTAGTTCGAATGTAATAGTAAAATACGAAGATTGTAATGACTAAGAAATAATTACAGATAAAAAAACTACCTTTTCATTTAAATCTCCTAAAGGTGGACCATGTACATTGCCTCCAATATATGGTGCACCCATAGGGAACCTCTCGACAAACTGATGGACCATTAGATCATCGAGGCCATGCTTTTCATAGCTCATAAATGCACCTATAGCACCTAAAAATCCTTCATGTCTCAAGAACATTGCTTGTGCCTGTCCTTTCGACCTGAGAAAGTGTAAATAGAAAAAAAAATCGGGTCACAAAGGGAAACTATGTTAGTTAACATGAATTGAGAAGAGGGAAATAGATAACTCTACTACAAAATGGGGGAAATAAAAAGGAAAAATAAAAAATAAAAGAAAAAAAAAAGAAATGGGAAAACTACTTCATGAATTTACCAGAAGTGGACAGCAAATGAGATGGTGTCCATAGTGTATGCGTGGCCCCTGATGAAAAATCCTCCAAAGAATATACGCTTGAGTCCAAACCGCAACGCATTTAAGTAAGATATCTGCAAGATTCAAGAAAAACATAAATTATGGTCACTTTAAATAATAATCAAGTAAAACTAAATTAAATGTCACGACAATATGATAGTTTAGTTTTCAACTTAGATCGCAATAAGGATTATTCAAACGAATTTCTCAATCTGCTGGTTGATCGAAAGATACATATGTTAAGTCTTACACGTCTTTTGTTTGCCCCTTTCTGTGTAATCTCTAATCTAATCAACTCTTGCTTTGTACGCAAGGATTAACTCGAACGTTCATTATTTAAAGAGGATTTTGAGATCATTAAACACGGATATCAATATTATGAGCATTATACCGTTTAACTTGCCTGGCCAATATTGTAGGAAATCATTCTTAACAAGGACAGGGATATATCTTCAGGTCTGTAGTCTTCGAGCTCCTTATTTTCTGATATAGCCTTGCCAAAACTAGAAGCAATAGTTGATGCAGAGAGCCCGATCTGAGGCACTTAGTATTGTCAGTAATTAAACAGATATAAGCAAATTAAGATACAATTGATAGA